ACGCTTTTATTATCCAGTGCACGAGAGAAAAATTGATAGCGTAGAAATATAGGGGAGAAAATATGGTGGGACGAAAAAACGAAAAAAAATGGAAAGCTTAAGGGTTGGTAATTTTTTTCAATACTGACAAAGCCCACACCGTGGCTCAATTATTGTCGGAGGTAGTATTCTACTGGTTCTGGTTTGAGATCACCGAAGCGTCGCGACGATCAGCTTTCGCGGAAGTAATTAGAAGGGATGTTGATCCTCGGTTAATAGGGACACTGGGTATACGTATACATATATATATATATATATCCAATAAATTGAACGATTTACATTCATACACGGCCATGCGCGCTATAGTCTCTGCAGTTAAATAAAGCGCCTGGTGGCGTCTAGTCAGCCGGTAAACAGAAGACCCATAGGCGTGGCAACGTCGTAGAGTAACGAGCTTCTTCGTAAAGTGATATACAGGCCTGAGGAGGATCTTAGGGTTTCCGGCTGTAAAAGGTGTCTGCGTAGTAAAGGTCGAAATCGATGGTCACCTGTTGCCCGAATCTAATCAAGCTGCACAATTAAGGGTAAGGCGATAGTGGAGTCTGGCGAGGGATGATCGCCGTCTGGCTTCTGGATGAAGAAGTCTTGAGAGGGTGATTGGCCAGATTGATGAATGCTGAGTAAATTTGATGCAAAAACCAATATGGGTTTTTGGGGTGGAGATTTCGCAAGGGCCAATTTAAAAATATACCTCAGATTATAACATACCGGGTGGTGACTTGAAGCGAAAGTTCGAAAATTACCAGGTGGATTCATTTAAATTACATTTGTCGAATTATTTTTCCTTTCCATTTAACTCGGCAAACGCTTTCCATTCGTATTTTAAATTTAAGTGGGAATAAAAGGTATACACAGGGTGGACGAGGGGCGGTCGGATCCTTACCGAAGGGAGGCAGGACGGCGATCTGAATAAGCTAATAAAAAGAAATCATCTTGACGTTACGAGCGTCAGATTCGCCTTTCTAAATAATGCCCGTCGTCAAAATTTAGACTCTGCGATACGAAACGAGATTTGGGTAAAATCGAATGTTTATTTTGCAAAAATTTCACCGCGATTTTACGAGAAACCCACGACGCGGTTTATGCCCGTGAAAAATTAATATTCGACGAAGTTTCTTATCGTGCCTTTATACATGCTGTCTGTATAATGAAATTCGGCGGAGTATCCGAGCCTGGATTCGGTATGAGGGTAGAAATCGGAAAATCGATTTATCTCACTGTAACAGATATCCAATAAATTTGTCTCGCTCGAATCGCAGAATGAAATGATAATAAAAATGAATTTTATTGAATTATTGAGGAAATCTGTGGCTGTGTTTCGTCTAGGATTCAACAGTCTGACACTTGTGTGTGTATATATATATATATATATATATATATATATATATATATATATATATATATATATATATATATATATATATATATATATATATATATATATATATATATATATATATATATCAGGTAAAGTCTATAGAGCTGGATTCATCGCCGTAAGAGGACTTATGTCTCCAGCAGGAATGAATCGATTTACGGTCATCCTCCTACGCTTCCACTACCCTCGTTCTAGTTACACCCTCTCGTTTATTGCTTTCGTTATTATACCATTTCGGGGTATCCTTACCTAGGTTTTTACGGCTATATTATTCTTTATGTGTGGTGCGTAATCACTCTTGGTCCCGTCTTCGCCAAGTTTTATCATCTTGAAGTATATAAACGTGACATTTTTTGTTCGTACCGGTTATTTATTTTTCAAAATTTAGCCGAAAAAAATGCCTACGACACTTATGCACACCATGTTACCCAGACTTGAGTAAATCATGAGGGTGACTTTCGCTACACGTTACTTCGAAACGGCCACTGAATTCCAATGGGAATCGCATCGAAGACCAGGGACACGCAGGAGGTTGAAATTAGAGGCATAAAAATTTCAAGTAGTAGATATAATAATATTTACGTCGAAGTAAGAGTAGTGGGTACGACTTGAAGATAAAAGTTTTTTTTCGAATATACAAAAATATTGCCGCCGAGTTTGCCCAATAGTGTCTCGTTTGCGGTTGTAAAAGAAGAAATAAAGAAGTAAGATGAAGAGATGGAAAAAAAATAGAGAAGTTTAACGTCCTTCCAAGTATATACTTTTGCTTGGTAGACACTCTTTGAAGATTCTCTGTACCGGCCGACCTAACCTCATTCGACCTTTCGTACTTATATGCGCAGAAGAAGAAATTTCCTAGAAGAAACTAAGTTTTCTCGAGCGAGAGATACTCTCGAAAGATGTACATCCTATGTACATACGAGTGTATACGAAATTACTTCTTTGGACGAGCCCCACTTTATACTACTTGGCCACGGCGTCTGGTAGGTTGCATCTTTTTCTTTTCGATGTTGAGCGAATAAAGAAAAAAGGGATTTCTATTGCTGTGGCCTTCGTATTAAATATTAAGGTCATTGGAAATCCAGGTCAAATAGAGTTTCAGACTTGATTACGATGGTTTTTCAAATCGCTCGGATTTTCCACTAACCGCGAACCATGCAAATGTATGAACGGCTGCCAATGAATCCTAACCTCATATTACCAGTCGCTGGGAATATCACGTACGGGTGATGCCAGGGCGTGAGAAAAGGCCGAGTAAAGTTGTATATTACTGTTTGCGTGGTTCGATATCACACGTGGGGGATGATCCGTGACTGGATTGGTGCGTGTGGGAAAAAGCTTTACGAACGTGGCGTCCATCACGGTAGGATTCTGAGAAAAAGAAATTAAGGCACGAAAATCGTATCTAGGATGGACGTAGGAAATGGGGAGAAAATCTTGAGTCCATCCTGACCTTTCAATCCTGACTCGTTACCCTTTGTATTCCATTAAGTGGCGTTCTGATCAGCCCCTTGTATATAAGGGCGGGTTGTTGTGCGCTACCTCATGGAACAGTGCAAAGAGAAAACAAGTGTTGCAGTATTGATCTGCCGGAAGCTTGAATTTCTTTTATCGGACAGCTGTGTTTCTTTTTCATCGTTTTCCGAATGCAAGAAAGATTTATTCACGTTTTGTGCGTCATAACCTCTCGAAGGTGACTGGTAACTTGTGGCGGTACACACTTTTTTTCGCGATTTTTTTTTTTTACGAGCCTTGTCTTTCGTAGAAAATTTTATTTGTTGGAAAGCCAAACAAAGGAGAGTACTGGCTTGCTTTGTTTAACTTGGAAATTTTATACAAATGGGATTTCACGCCTCATACCCGTGACATTCGTTGTTCTTGAATAAGTCTTCTTCTTTCATTAAGCTTGTCAGAAACTGTACTTTCTTCGTCCTTCGAATAGAGTCGGTGAAAGGTTACTGGGAATATTTTCAAAGTTCACAAGGTAAAAGGATGGACGAAGGTACACCAGATTTTGTAGGTGTCACGAGGTGTAAAAATTGTTTTGCACAAACTGATATCCCGCGGAATTGGTTTCGGTAATATATTCGACGCTTCATTTCATTCGAATGGTCATTCGAGAAGGGTCAGTCGGATATGCCATTCTTTCACTCTCGTATCTCGAGACATTCTCTTTCCTGTTTCCATCATCTTGAAATCTTAAGACAATTGAAATTCTATTGGGTTAAGATTTTCCGTAAAGTCGTACTGTAACCTGCCAAGAAATATGAAGGATTTGATCCTCTTTATGTGAAATGTATAATGGTCGGAGCCAAGTCCAATGGTTAGTGACGCGAACTAGGAACTGAAACCGGAAGTGGATGAGGAGCGCAGTAAAGCCTGCACAGAGGAACGAATAAAATAAAAAAGTAGCGTATAAGTTAAAGGTACTATGAAATTTAAAAAAATTCCTTTTAGCAAATTGCATGAATAAACTATCTCAAGTTTTGGTTAAGATTTAAGTACATAAAAAATTCTCTCAACGATTTTTAATTCAATTACAAATCTTTTTGCTCCAAAAACCACCACGCTATTCTTCACGTTATTTTTTCACAATATCCAAGCGTACAGTCGTTGTTTACCAGTGCGTCATGCGGGTGTGCCGTGTACCCTTAAAAGAAGAAAAATAAGAGAAAAATTATTTGCAGTATCCAAGAACGATTTGTCGCCTCAATGATTTTTTAGTTCGCGAATATACAAAACATACAGCAAGAGCGGTAGTAATATTTCATATGTTACCCACAGTGCAGACACAGACATGTAATCGCTAACATAAAGTTAAAACTATAAGCGACAGCTATTAAGCATCGGGATATACGTCACTCTGGCAAATTACCCGAGGGCTTGATTTACTGTCTTTGTCAGCTTTTAATAAACTCGACGAGGCCCGCGACACTTTTTGACTATAGCTGTCAGTTTCCAGGTCTATATATGCTGTTAAGTAGAAATTTCCGGTTAAACTTGAAGAAGGCATTCGCTTAACATTCGGTGGCCATTAAGTAGTAATGACGAATCGACATGGCTAGCTGGAAGCTACGACTGTTGGTGGCTGTTAACGACTGATCGTAAACGGCTATGTTGACGTAATCACGAATTACGAGTTAGGCGATGGTCGGTTAGAGCCCCTTTGGCACAGATGGATATTCAGCTAAAATGGGAAGATGGACGATTGGTGTTCTAGCAACCAATTATGAATGAAACATTTACGTACCTTATCTCAGCAATCCAATCTAATACAATCTACAGTCTGACGCATAGCGAATGAGTATTTTACCTTCCATCGCATACTTGGTTATGTTTCGAATATATTTGCGACAGAGCAAATGAGGGACGTGTAAATAAGGGGGTTGACTCTTGGGACGATGCCATTTTCTCGAATAATTAATTTTACCCTTGCGACGAAGGGTGTAGCTCAAGGTGCTAAAATGATATCGTGGCGACGTTTTTGTGTAAACTATTTAATGAGAATTCGTACACAGCGCCACCCTACGACTTTAGCTGGTGGCGTCTTGACTCCCTCCTTGGCGATACTCACTGGGCCGGCGGCCATATTGTTTGCTCGAGCCGTTGACAGTATGTTAAAGCCTGTCGCGTATCAATCGGATAAATTTAATTGCTACGGATCACCGTGACCTTTTGGCAAACAGTGAACGTTCGATTCAATTAATTGTCATGGTTCGGTACAATTGACGCAACTCTTCGAGGAGTGAATTATAACAAGGACATTTCGTCGTTATCGATGATACTGTCGCACTGTGTCGACGCAAAACTTTATATCTAAGGGACACGAGGGAAGACGGGCAATCTGTAAGGTTAGTCAAAATTAAATTACCTAACTAATTATCTTACTTTATACGACAAGCTCATCCCTGAGCGGAGCCAGCCGTTAATAGAACCACTTAAGCCCGACGAAGAAAGCTACCAGCTGCTTTAATAATAAAAATTGTTTATCCAAGATGGAGGGTGTGTAACGATGTTTCGTAATTTGACGTGGCAATATATAATACCAACTTTGTTGGCGTCTCGTCAAATATAATCGTAAGGATGATTCCTACACCACAAAATCCAGCGTAGAACCGTCTTTTCATACCAGTAACCCCTCCAGACAGTCTTCTGATTTTCACCCCTCAACTTTGTCAACTTCTCACAAGCACTACCTTACATCTTACCAGACGTCCCTATGAAACCAGAGCAAATATAAATGTCCTCTCTGGTATGCGAGCATGAGAAATGTATAAAAAGTTCTTTAATACTGATCGATCATTCCTTCCCCTTAACCTTCTCGAGGTGGATCTCGAGTGACACGATACCCCCGAGCGATATTAAAAATAGTATCCATTGCTGATATAACCAAGAGGGAGCATTGACGATCAGAAAGTGAAGTCAGGCTTCAACTACGAACAAAAGCCTCAGGTTAACGAAGCGCTACCAATGACGCAATCGAGCATCAACTTATCGTGTAAATAAATGCATACATACGTGGTTGCAAGCATAGCCGGTGAGCTCAAAAACTGTCAAGCATAGATATAGCGCAGTTTACATTAGCGAAGGAGAATTTTTCAAATCTGCAAATGGATGAACCTACATTATTTTTAATACCCTGGCAAGGGGGAAAGTCTAAGACTTTGCGCACAGTGATTACTTATTAAGCTACTAAAGGGATTTATCATCAGCTAGCAACCATGGAAAAAAGATACTAAATAAACCTGCAGACGCCTTCGCGTTCAATATGCTACGGTACTTTTTGAATTTATCTACTGAAGAATAAACAGTTTTATCGAATATTTTTTCTCTCTGTCTCTAGGTCTTTGGCGATTCAATCCCTTTATTTATCATTCATATCATTCCTTGTACCTACAATGCCTATTCGCTCCGTGCAAGTCAGCGATGGCGACATCTGGTGGCTCGAAAATGAAAAAACTTTGGAGAGTGTAGCCGTAATTTATTTGAAGATTCATTAAAAGAAATGCAATTAAATCAAATAACCTTTATTTCGGGATTACCTTCATACACTCGTGCACGAAATTTTTTTTCTACTATTTAATATAATGAACTACGTAAGTAAACTATAATTATCATGTATATTCTCATGATAGTGCGAGACGTTTTGAGGTTACTTACGTAGTAATATATTCACATGATTTTTTTACCTCAAAAAAATCATTAACTCTACTAAATTCTGTGTAGTAAAAATTAGTGTTAATGATGTATCTATTGCAGATAAATGTTTTTTTCTGGTTGAATGCAATTTAGTGAAAAAATATCCACCCGACGCTCCTCATCACAAGTTTTTTTTATTATTACTCTGGTTGGCTCCAGAATATCAGCTTCATCAATTCTTTACTAACCTGTTGCAGGTTTTTTTTTGTGGTTATTGGCACAGATTTAGTAATTCTTCGCTTCGTGAAACGATCATGTCTGTAATAGAAATAAATGTAAAAAAGGAGAACATTTTAAATTGGTATACTGGATTCGTATTGATTCGCCTGGATTCGATTTTCGTTGCTCCAGTTTGATCCACAACTTTTGCGTTATATGCAGGAGGGAATATTGTTGGAATGTAGCTTGGGCTTAATTGCTCCTCTGACTTTTTATTTCCGATAAAATGCTCGCTGCATATAAAATCCCACGGCTTTGGATACCATGGCGATCCATGAACACTTAAAAGTAATTATTTTACTTTAGTTCGAAATACTTATTTAAAAAGTATCCGTGTACGCTGTGTTTGACTTCTTGCATCAGACGCTACAAAGTGAGGTTATGTAACTTACTTTTTTCTCCTCACAGCTGCAGTCCATTTATTTCTTTTCTCCAATTTATGTTTCCCTACTGGAAATCAGTAGAATTTGCACTCACTATTTACACCATTGCTTTTACAATTCGCCACACAACAAGTAGAATGCTTAATTTTATTAAATACTGCGATGCTAATATTACGGAAAATTTCGAGGTTTATTTCTCCTTTTCGCCACCAGCGCGCCTCGGTAGGTTCGGTTATCCTCCTCCAAAGGATTACACCGAGCGAATAGCTGTATAATATAACTGAGTATCCTAACGGCCCTAAATACTTTTCTTACTTTCAGTTATTGTTACGTGAGAGGTTAACTGAGCGTGAAATATATATTTTGACTTATCCTAGAATTCGAGAGAAAAAGATAACTGTACCTGTGCCTTTTATACAGTTTCTTCGTGAGATAAAGTTTGATGGTTCGTCAGCCAAAAAAAAACTCTATAGGTTACTTCGGAACCTTCATCCCTTTTCGTGTTGTTATCATCCCCGATTCTATCCTCGGCCCTTGACGGTGTAGAAAATAACTTTACTAAAATATGTGCCATCTTGCCTCTGCTTCATTCTCTTTCTTTTTTCTTTCGCCAGGGTAATTGTTTTCGAGTTGGCGGTTCCACAAGCGGGACACCGAACATCAACTTTCCTATTCATGACGAAGAGTGGAAGAGACAGTGAACGAAAGCGGAAAGATGATTATTCCAGAAGTTTATCAAAAACTTAGGGGTTTTTCTCATTTTTTTGATTACAGACAGCAACTTTGTCCTGGGCAATGCGCAGGTTCCGTCGAACTATCCGATCGTCTATTGTTCCGATGGATTCTGCGAGTTGACCGGTTTCGCGCGTGCGCAGATAATGCAACGAGGATGCGCCTGCAAGTTCCTCTATGGACCGGAAACGAAGGAGGAGGAGAGGGTGATGATAGACAAGAGTCTCGAGAGCAAAACAGAACTCAAGATGGAGGTTGTGTTTTACAAGAAGAGCGGTGAGTATCGTATTTAATCATATGTAAGAAATTAATATTTTTATTTGTATACGTCAGAATTTGTCGAGCCATGCGCTAAGCTTTGACGTCTGCCACAAACAAAATGCCTGAGGTCTGACGTGCTAACGACTACGTGCTTACGCAAACGGATCTAATATCTAAGCACGTATCGCTGTGTACGTGTATTCCATCAGTGCCACCAATTTCGCTCGACTATGCTTTGCCCTGTACTTTTCGTTTGCATGTATACCGGAATGCATGCTTAGATATGAGATCTGTGTGCGTAAACACGTAGCAAACAAAGGAATCGAGAAAAAGTTGTGCCGCGTTCTAACGCAATATAACTTTTCTTATTACGGACTTCTTTCAGGACTAATGTTGCGTACCGTTTATTTATGGCAGCTTGTCAACATTTTTTTTCTTTGCGCTACCTAAAGCGCGTAAATAGCCAGAGTTTCCACGGGTTTCGGCTGTTTCACTTTACGCTAAAAATATATCAGTGGAAATTTTGCAGAAGTCTGCCGTTGTTAACGCGCGCGCATGCGCACACGGCTTGTTTCTTCACAGTCCAAATTTTCTAGGCGAAAATTAAAAAAACATGAGAACGCAAGGCACCGCGAAAAGGTGCCTTTCCTCGAAACCCTCGAGGGATTGTTCATTTACGATATGCCATGAAAAGTCGTAGTTATTTTTGCGACGACCCACGATCCCCTGGACCCTAGAGAGAGTCAAAAAATTTCGTCCTCTGGCTTGCTGGTCACTGAATTTGGCTGTAGAATTCGGCGCGCTCAATTTTTCAAATAAAGTCCTTTCTTGTCCCTCTGTCAGGACTACGGTGGAACATACCTTATAATGTACAAGTGCGCCCTGGGTATACTTTGGAGAATTAAAAAAAAATCCAACATCTTGTCCTTGAATATTTTAATCGAAATTTCATATTTTTTTTTTAAACAGAAATTCAACGATATACTATTCACTAGTTCACTATCGATACCTCGTTTGGAATGAATGGAACTCTACTTGTAACTGTGAATCGACTTTCAATCTATCCAGTTTCCAAGTCTTTTGATCATACAACCCATCCTTCCTTAGTTTCCGACTGATCGACTATTCTCTCCCTTCTTACATACGGTCCACGAATCCCAAAGGGGATCAAAAGACTTTAAGTATCGTATAGGGAGCGATTTCGCTACATTCTCCATTAAGCCTAATTGGGATGAAGATCGTCATTAACCGAGTCAAGGGAATCAAAGTAAATCTCACCTTTCACTTCAATGTTCACTCCTCACACGTTCAGTTGACACTACATAACGTTAAACACGTAATAAATATTTTACAGGAACTCCGTTCAACTGTCTGCTGGATATAGTTCCCATAAAAAACGAAAAAGGTGACGTCGTCCTCTTCCTGGCATCTCACAAGGATATAACGCACACCAAGGACCGGCAGCTATGTGAATTGTATGACAGCGGTGAGTGTAGGAACATTTTAATTGTCAAATACTATAATTTAATCCCTAATACCTCTCGTAGTATTAACGCTGGACGAGCAGTATTGTCGTAGATAATAGAATGTCCTTACGTTGCTGATGCTGGGTTCCTTTATAGACGCTAACGGTAATCTCGATCCTGAAGCACCTCCGGCTAACTATGGCAGGAGAAGAAGCCGCGCTGTTCTCTATCAACTATCGGGCCACTACAAACAATACAATAAGCACAAGCTCAAGATCAACAATGTGAGTCTCATCTCCATCGTGCTAAGATCATGGATGTCCATCTTCTTTGGCTAAGAATTTACGTGGAGTACGCGTAGAGGACATTGGGGATACGATAACGAACTGTGGTATCCCTGAGCTCGGGAATTTGACTAATAAGTTAGCCAAGCTTAGGTAAACATGAAGGATGTATACGAAATACAGATGGGGTCGATGAAAGTAGAACTTTTAAAGAACTATTATACCAGTTAACTTTTATGCCTGAGATTCTTTTGTAATTGGAGTAAGGATCCGTGCGTTTCTTTGAGATTTGCTTGAGATACGTGAGATTAAAATCTTCTTTTTCACGAATCTGTTAATGGACGACGTTGAAAACTTCAAAGATCTTTGGGAGTTACTTGGATGATTCGTGGCTGTTCTTCTTCGTCTTTTACAAGGGCAACCTTTGACCAAACGTTGGTTTGGTTGGTTGGACCAAGAGGCGGCGGCGTCTGTTTGTCAAAGATCGAGAGTTTATGAGAATCCGTGTCGCAGTAACGTCTATTTCATTATAGCATTCAAATTTGCCTTTTCTCACCTTGAACACGTTACTTTTTTTCTTTTACCCTTCCATCTATGCTTTCGTCACTCCCTGCTCAATTTACATATTAATTTTCGCACTCACGACCACACCACCTCCACCCACTCTAGAAACTTGTAATTTACTTAAGACCCTCCCTTAACGTAATTTATTAGACGCCGGAACATTTACTGATCCACCAGTCACCCAGCTCTGCTTTCAGGTCACTTAGTCCTGATGACGATGACTAAACAGTTGTTGTGTTAATACCTTCAATTATTTGTTTACAGTTTACACATACGTAACATGCTTTCCTGGCTTCTCTCACCTATTTACCCATCTGCCCTTTACACCTGTCTACACTTATACGGTGCTCCTTTGATCCCCTCTTCGTTCTACATCGTACCTTCAGTGTGAAGAGGAGGTCGCGAAGATGCTGTGTGAGATAGAAGAGGACGAAAAGAGTCCTCTGCAACTTTGGTCGAGGTTAAATCACTTTACTGGCAAGTTTCTCACAAGGTGATGTTTGCGGTCCGTGAATAATGATACTTCTTTCTGAACCTCTTACAGACTAACAGCGAAAGTAGATAAGGATAAGAAGAACAGAGGGAACATATCGGAGTAATGTCGGGTAGAAAAACTTGGAGAATCCTAAAAAATGTTCTTATCCTACCGTACCGAATAGAAACGATACAAAATGTTACACGTATTGTGGAGATTTGAGTGTTAAATTAATTTATTAAAAAGAAAAAAGAAAACTATCATTGATATCACAGAAACTCGTGGGTGAGTGAAAGGAAAGAAAAACTGCGGTATGAATTCAATAAGGGACAACTAGCCTCGTCGAGGAAACAAGTGGCCCTTTTAAGGGAAAAATGAAAAGGTTCTTTGATAAAGAGATAAGAAAGCTGTACGAAAGGTTATAGCGATCCCTGGCTGTCTTAACATCTTTAATCACATTCTAGGTTATGATTTATATTCATGAAAATCGTCGAACCGTACCCCTGACGCATTCGACAGTAACAATGGCGTCTCAACGTACAACAGCATTGAGAATGGCATCTCAACTCCTTTGGTCAACCTGCTCTAGTGCTATGTGGTCATTGTCAACCTGTGATCTTGCTTTATTAGAAAAGTTCCTGGCTTCAGTTTAACCCTCATTTTTGTTGGCAACCTGTAACCTGGCTATCGCAATTTTTAAAATTCACTTGGGATGGATCCAGGATGGATTGTCGGACCTTTCTGAACGTTTAGAATTTTCATAGCCGAGAAGATCGATATTACTCTGCGTGATGAATAAGAGATCAGTCCTCTTATAATGGCTTGGTGATTATCTATTAAACCTCATCCGTAGAAGGGGATAAGAAGGGTTCACCGTTGGGATGAAATTTAAAAAGTAGCAACTAGCGAAAGTGAATATCCCCCTTAGGCGGTTGTGCAGGGTATATCTATTTAGTCTGCCGGATGGGAAACCCTAGAGTGACCTGTTCGCTGCTTGGAAGAAGGATAATCGAGATCCCTAGGAAAACGGGCTACGTCGACGAGTTCATTCTAACTCACCAGTGAGGGAGAAACTCTCTTGGAGTTTCAAATTATTTGCATTTCGCTTGGTATAATGAGGGTGTTCTGATCTGGATAGTAATCGTACCCTACCAATCAGCTATAAGATAATACTCGAAGTATACTGTCGTAAGACAGAAGCTGGAATACAAAAAGAATTAAATACTTTTTTTTTTTTTTTTTTT